GATGTGATGAACAGGGGCAACTAAATGGGTGAAATCAGTCGTCTACAGGGATAATGGATTGCTGCAGAGACAAACTGGAATTAGAGTATTTGCTAAGAGTTTCAGATGCCACAGATGTCAGGGTCCGACTGGAGAAAACCCCAGTGTCAGACCTGTTTCACTTGTGATCCCAAGAGTGAAATTAAGATGCAAATGAGGTCAAGTACCATAATCTGTAAGTTGGTTTACTATGAAAAGACAATTATTATAAAAAAGGAAATTATTAAAAAGGGGATAGCGATAGGAGAGATAGGAAAAAAGATAGAAGTGAAGCAAGAATTCAGGGTGCAGAGAGATAGTCACCACTGTGGATCCAGCAGTGTCCCAGGGGTCTGTAGTTGTCATCTGCAGTGGTGGGAGTCCTCCAGGGTCTCTAGTCGGTATCAGAAGTGGTGGGAGTCCTTCAGGGTCTGTAGTTGGTATCGGAGCAGGGTGTCCCCAAGAGTCTGTAGTAGTGGATGTCCTCGTGGAGGTGTCCTTGGAGTTGTCTTCGTGGAGGGTGTCCTCACAGAGGTGTCCTACCTGGAGATTACCTTTTCCCCCTTTTATTATGAGTTCGGGGAGTACCTCTGTTCTTAATGTCAGGTACCATGCGTTCCTGGTGGATCAGTGTCGCTGGCCTTGCAGCCAGCTCTTCAACTGCACATGTCTGCATCAATTCTTGGGCTAATGGGCAGCAATTCCTCACACCAGTCCTGGAGATAATGGGCAGAAGAGTTTCCCTTGATAAAATGACATGCCTAGAGCATCTCCCATATAAAGACAGGCTGAGAAAATTGGGCTGTTCAGCCTGGAGAAGAGAAGCTGTGGGGAGACCTCAGAGCAGCCTTCCGATATCTGAAGTGGGCCTACAAGGATGCTGGAGAGGGACTCTTCATCAGGGACTGAATGGGTTTAAACTAATCGGGGGAAGTTCAGGTTAGATATAAGGAAGAAGTTCTTTATTGGGAGGGTGGTGAGGCACTGGAATGAGTTGTCCAAAGAAGTGGTAAATGCTCCATCCCAGGCAGGGTTCAGGGCCAGGCTGGACAGAGCCTTGGGTGACATGGTCTAGTGGACCTAGATGATCTTACCTAACCATTCCATGATTTAGGATAGACTGGTTCCTTTGGTGTGGCCTCCGTTCCAGTTCTTTCCATCTTTTAGAAGGTTTCATCTTTCACCTTCTTTAAAATGTCTACTTTAACTGACTGTCATAGCAAACCTGGTCTGAGGTAGCAAATGAAGTTGGAAGTAACTGGGTGTGATAGAGCCATCAGAGCTTTCTGTCTCTTACCTTTTCCTCAGCATGCTTCACAGCTGTTAGTAGTTTGGATTTGATTTGAAATGGTTTTACTGAGTATGCTGAATGTCTTCTGCGATACTGAGCTGTCAGGGTAACCTTGAATAATTCTGAGTGACCTAGGTAGTAGATTATGGCTCACATTTAACTGTCTTACTTTTTTTTCTCTGCCCTTTCTGTAGACCATAAACACTGTATCAGAGGTCATTCGAGGGTGCCAGATGAATCAAGACTACTTTGCCTCTGTAAATGCACCTTCTAATCCACCAAGGTAGAGGAAGAAAAGTGTTTTAACTGTGTTAGGTAATGATGTATTGGTATGGGCCACAGCAGTCTGATCCAAAGGATTGTTTAAATTATGATACAGAGCGATAGATTTGAGTTCACGTTGATGTGTTAGAGCATGAAGGTGTCGGGTGTGTTTTACAAAGACGAGACCTAGAACTGTTTTTGTTATGTGACACCTGAAAAGTGAATGAGCAGTAGCTGAGAAATTCCTAGATGGGGATGAACTGTCAGTCAGAGGACAGCCTACAAAAGGAGTTAGAGGCCAGGAAAACAGGCAGGCAATTGCTATTTACTCAGACTGGGGAACAGCAAATGTTAGCTTAAGGAGATCTTAATCTCAACATTGAATAGGAGGTTGAAGGTAGAAGGGCAGCAGTCTGTATTACAAGCTGCTAGTGGTCTCATGAGGTCTATGGTATTATTGAAGCTGGCAGGGAGCAGCGGGGGGCTCAGTGGGCAATGGAGACACTGTGGAGGAATGCCAGCTCTTGTCAGTCGTGTAAAGAATACTGTTGTGTGTTTTAATGACCTGAAAAGCCTGGGTATTAAAATCAAGGGGTTTACTCCAGTTGTAATTCATGGAGTGGGCAAAAATCTTTTTTCCTTACCTGTGGAATACACTACAGATTGTCTGCCTGTGGTTGTCTCCATTCACAACTGTACCCTAATGTTTTTTATCTTTCCCAACAGGCCTGCAATTGTGGTACTTCTGATGTCCATGGTGAATGAACGGCAGCCTTTCGTGCTACGTTGTGCTGTTCTCTATTGTTTCCAGTGCTTTCTCTACAAAAACCAAAAAGGCCAAGGAGAAATCGTGTCAACACTTCTACCATCTACTATTGACGGTATGCAGAGTTAACATCTGTGCAACAAGTTGTGAACCAATGTTTAATGCAGCAGCTGATGTCTTCTCCAAAATCATTTACTTGCCATTGAGTATCTGATCTGGGAAAGATCACAGAATCACAGAATGGTTTGGGTTGGAAAGGACCTTAAGATCATCTACTTTGAACCCCCTGCCACGGGTAGGGTTGCCTCACGCTAGACCATGTCACCCAAGGCTCTATCCAGCCTGGTCTTGAACACTGCCAGGGATGGAGCATTCACCACTTCTTTGGGCAGCCTGTTCCAGTGCCTCACCACCCTCACAGTAAAGAACTTCTTCCTTATATCTAACCTAAACTTTCCCTGTTCAAGTTTAAATCCATTACCCCTTTTCCTATTGCTTCAGTCCCTGATGAAGAGTCCATCTCTGGCATTCAAGATGACTTGGCTTATGTTTTCTCTCTAACTTGACTAGTTTAATTTTTCTGCATTTTAACTGTATGTTGATGTCTTAAATATTTCGCCTATTTTTGTGGCTTGTTTTAATCTTGCTTGTACCTCTTGATCATTCTGGTAGCTACAGGTAACTCTGTCTCAGCTGGTCAGCTGCTCTGTGGAGGCCTCTTTTCCACGGACTCCCTCTCTAACTGGTGTGCTGCTGTGGCCCTGGCCCATGCATTGCAGGAGAATGCCACTCTGAAAGAACAGCTCCTTAGAGTTCAGCTTGCCACCAGCATCGGCAATCCACCTGTGTCACTGCTGCAGCAGTGCACCAACATCCTCTCACAGGTACGGCACCGGGTTAAGGCTCCAGGTATCCAGGAGGAATGCTGCACTTGTGCAGGAGCGTCACAGGAAGGCATAGAATCATAGAATAGTATGGGTTGGAAGGGACTTTCAAAGGTCACCCAGTCTTAGACTAGTCACCTAAATAGACATCTAGTCATCTAGCTTAAGGAGAAGGAGGGTTTTCTCACTTTTGCAGATCATTTTAAGCTTTGCTTAAACCCCGCTATGCTCTAGGGGGAGCAGAAAAGCAGCACATCTTGTTTTTTTCATCAGTGATTTGATGCTTGGCGTTAAGTAGAGGGTTCTGAAGCATTTAGACCTTAAACTTGGTTTAAAAGACGAGGCAAACTGGCAGGATCCCCAGTGGCATTGTGTTGCTGAAGGGGTTCCTGCTTTGTATTTAACCTCTAACTGTTAACTGGGAATGTCTTGAAAATACCAGGTTCTGACATGTTGATTGGGGTTGGTTTTGCTGTTAAAAACTTGAAAGCTTTCTTGCTAGCTTTGCCAATGTTGAGCAAGTGAAGCTTGCCTGTGAGTCCGTGCTTCCCTGGGACATCCACTTCTATTCTGCATACCTTTCTGTGAATGTCTGCAGTAATGAGGAGCTGGATAACTCTGGCAGCTATTAGACTTCCCTGCAGTTGATGATAATAGCAGAATGCTGGAATTCTGAATTGGTTCATGTGACTTTTTTTCATCTGCTTGACCTGAAAATTGACAGTGCTCCTTTTTATCCTGTTGCTGGCTTTCTTGTCTGAGGTAAATTTGAGTCAGCAAAAACGCCTGTGGCTCTTTATCCTTACATGATGGAAGGGACTGAAACTTTTGGGGGGGGATGTTTCTGAACTGTGTTGTACTTGAAGCTTCTCAAGTAACACGTGTGTAACTTGCAGGGTGATAAGATCGACAGACGGGTATGTATATTTTGGCCCAGCTTGGGCATTTTCTTGCCAAAAGCAGGCCTTTTCCTCTTGCCTTGGGTTTTGCTGGGGAGGTTTTCTTTAACTGCTTTTTGATGTGTTTCCACTTACAGCTTTGTGTTGCAGTTGGGTTTGGGTTTTTCCCTAGCGTTACAAGCTCTTTCTGTGTCTCCAGGGGATTCTCTCCACAAAACTATGGGATAAGGATCTTGGGTATCATGGGTGCTTTCTTTCCAGTGGGGCAGACTCATTCACCTTCTCATCACCTAACAGATGAGCTTTCTTGTAAAGAAAATTAAAACTGTTAGAAATGGTGTTTTCTCAGACAGGTCTGTAGCAAACAGCTGGTACAACCTGAAGTGGGAACGTGCTGCTGATTTTCTGACTGCTAAAAGAAAAAGCATGTTTAACCTGCCTCCTGGGCACTTTGTATGTTGTACTTACCAGCAGAAGTTAAAACCTTGGAGCTATTAGTTGTGAATAGCAGGGATCTCATTGCTAGCATATGATCCCTGAAGTGAGTTGTTTAACTTTGAGGCTGTGTTACTTAACTCACTGCTGAGTTGGTTATCAGTTGTCCTGCAGGGTAGGGTTGTATTATTACCAACCCTGAACTGCAGAACAGCAGCCATGGAGAGCTGTCATCTGTCACAGTAGTTGCTATCATGGTATATCTTGAATATAACTGTGTAGTGGTGTTTTCCAGAGGAAAGGAGAGGGCCAGAGGAGCATATAGTTTGGTGGGGACTATGCACCTCACAGTGAAGTCTAGATCAGTGGAAACCAGTCATGGCCTTCAGGTAGAAGGGCAGCAACAAGAAGATAATCTCTGTGTTACTACAACAGCTTGACAGGGTCACAGCAAAGCTGCAGACAAAGCTATAACAAAGACTAAACAAGGGTTGCTGGTAGAACATGAAGTACTCACCATGAAACACAACAGGCAGGTGCTGTGCAGTTGGAAGTGATGGTTGTGTTCTCTGCTGCTCTGATGTTGTTCACCTGGGTCTCAGGAAGTAATGATGCTGATAATGATGAAAAAGAACCAGATGCTCACTTTCTTGTGTGTGCAGCATTAGGGATGGCTGCCACAGTCTTGGTATCTGTAGTCTGTGTTCTCCTCCTTTAAGGAAATTATTTCATCTTAGTGATGGAGACGTACTGCAACAAATCACAGTACCTCAGAAGGGAGTCCTTGAAGGCAGTCTCTTCAGAGCTTGGTAGCTTGGTATCTTCTGCCAGAGCTGCTGGATTCAATTCCAGTCTGTCTCGCAGTCAGTAGCAGCAGCAGTTGGGTAGCTGAGAGCTGCAGAAGAGCTTCTTGCCAGCCTGCTGCTTACCAGCTGTTTCAGTGGGCAAACTGGCTTATTCAAAGACCGGGGGGGCTTTTATTTTGTTGTAAATGCTTAGCTGAAATTAAAACCGACACTGCCTTCAGCCCTAAAGCATAGGGGGATATCAGAGGCAAGGATGGAAATTCAATGTTTCAAGCACAGACCCTTTGTTTTGATGACTGTCTCTTTTCCCTGCCTCAATCCCTGTGCCTGCTCATTCACTTGCCCCCATTGAAGCTATCCCAGCAGTTCTGTGTGCCTCATCTTGCCTTTGAGCCTTGACTTCAGCTTCCAGTTATTTTGCCCAGTTTATTAGGTGCTTGTGTGAAGTTTTATTTTCCATGCATGGAACACGTTTCTTGGTTGCCTTTTGAATGCTGACCATTGGAAGAGAGGTATGCTTGCCTCAATGCTGCTATGTCCACGGTACCTGCAGCAAAGACAAGGGGGACAGAATTGAGAAGATGGGCAATTGGCAGATGAAAACTAACAAAACCAAATACTACAGTTAGCATTCCTCTTGCTGGATTAATGTGCATACTGTCTGAACCAAAAGTCACTCCAGTAGTATCTTTCTTGACTTACAAAATAGTATTAGGAACACGTAGCAATTTGTAGTCAGCAGGGGAAGTCTTAGTGATACATCCCTTCTTATATGGAATCCTTACCTGACTTAATTTACACCTTGCTCCTTTACAGGGGAGTGTCTCTGCATTCCTTCACGTTATCCTAGTGTGAATTATAAATGCATAACTAATTTGTTATGATTTTTATACTGGTGCTAATTTGCACTGAGTCATATTTCACATCTGTGTTGCTTGCTCGTTTGCTCTGAAAACAGATATGAATGGTTTAATACTTGCTTCACCAAAGCACTAAAGCTGTGTTCAGTATAACTAACACATGAGTATTTTGAAAGACATGGTTTTTAAAATGGTGAATTCTGAAGCAGTACAGGCTTTTTTTTGGTATTTCAGTCCTCCACTGTGGAAAGTTAACGATGAGGGGGTTTATTCTTTCAGGGCAGCAAAGTCCAGACCAGGGTTGGACTTCTGATGTTACTTTGCACTTGGCTCAGCAACTGCTCCATTGCTGTCACCCACTTCCTTCACAATCCAGCCAATATACCTTTTGTATCCTTGACCTACTTGCTTTGTTGTTCTGCCAGCCAAACGTAGTTTTTAGACTGCAACAAGCCCACTGCTATTTTCAGGGTGACTTACACATATACCCAGGGGGTAGGAAGAATGCTTCCTATTTATGGTGAAGCATATTTCTCTGCTTGCTTTTCAGGAAGAAATCTGGCTAAAGTACATCAGGCTGAAGTTGTCACCTTATCTAAACAGAAAGCCTGTTTTGGAACAACTCAGTCTCTTTGAGCAGACAGAGAAGAAATGTCAGGAAAGCCACTGACTACCCAAGTCCTTCATGACAGGAGCTAGCTTTGCGAGGCTTTCCTCAGCTCTTTTGCCTGCTTCCTAATCAAGCTTGGGTTTACCTCTGAAAAGTATTTTAACTGGGAATCTATACACAGAATATTAAGTTACATGTATGGTGCTTATGAAGTATCTCCAATATCCTTAACAAGAGCTCCAGCTCACAGGGCAGATAGCTGAAAACCTAGGAGAAGAGGAGCAGCTTGTCCAAGGCCTGTGTGCACTTTTGCTTGGCATTTCCATCTACTACAATGACAATTCCCTTGAAAATTACAGGAAGTAAGTATGCTGTAAAAAGAAATGTGAATGACAGGTGGTGGATTAAGAGGCTTTTAACTGAGCGGTGCAGCAGAGATTTGGTTGCATGTTTTCAGTGTGTGTTCCTTATGGCAGGCACAACAACTGACCCACCTCTAGCTAGGCAAAGCAGGTAGCTGTTTTGCATAGATCCTCTGAACCTGTGCATGCCTGCCCCAGGAACAGATGCCAGTGGCCACTGTAAAATAGCATCATGAATGCATCATCTGCTGTGGGTCAGACTTGAGACAGATACTCAGAGTTTTAGCTGTAAAAACCACCTGAAGGGAGGGATGGGTTCACTTTTCAAGTGTGGCACTGTGATTGATTTCTCTTTTCCTTTCAGAGAGAAGCTGAAACAACTGATTGAGAAGAGGATTGGCAGGGAGAACTTCATTGAGAAGCTTGGCTTCATTAGCAAACATGAACTTTATTCCAGAGCTGCTCAGAAACCCCAGCCTGGTTTTTCTAGCCCAGAGCACATGATGTTTGATCATGAATTCACCAAGCTTGTGAAGGAATTGGAAGGTGAGATGTTGTGCGTGCTTCTGTTTTTGTGACACCCTGATGCCTGAACTACCAAATGTGCTGAATGTAACAGTCTCAAAAGTAGTGTGATGATACTAAAATGGAGTATTCTGAAAAACGTGTTACAGTAATAGCTGTAAGTAATTTCACAGTTTAAGTATTAACTCCTGGTACAAGCCCATAATCAGGGCTTGTACAAATTGATTACCTTTTCATTTTTAGGTGAAAGGATTCTCAATACATGGTTTGAGTTCTCATACTGTGTCCAAGAGGTGTGTTTACCCATGCTCATACAGAGACTAAGTATTGAGCACATGTGATGGTTATAGATGCTCCATTTGTGGAAGTAAGCAATCTAGGTATTGGCTTTTTCTGATTCATGAGAAAAATTATGAAAGCTGTTACTTCCTGGCCTGTTCAAAAATGATAAGCACTTTGTTTAGTGTTTTCTGTCCTTCACTAAAGAGACAGGTTGTCATCATTCTTAAAGTGTAACTGATGTCCTGGTTAATACTGCCCAACTCAAATCAGTCTACAGAAGGAAAAAAAGAAGCAAGAACAGTGAAGATGGTTTTGCCCAATTGCATTTCATCTGCATGTTGCCCTGGCAGCCCCAGGTCTTTCACTTAACTGGATAAGCACTTGTGCAGCAGCTGTGGTGGAGCCATAACAACAAGTAAACCCCACCTTTTGTGATAAGGAGGACTCCCAAACACCCATTTGCTTTTCTGAATCTGTGTAAAGCAGCGAGCCTGCAAACCTTGCTATAAAAGATGGCTGTTTCCTTAAACCTTTGTTTTTAAAGTGCAGGTTTAGTTTCTAGCACCCTGCACTCTGGGTTGAATTGTGAGACAGATGTGAGGACAAAAATGATGTGAATTTTTTTTAACAGGTGTCATAAGTAAAGCTATTTACAAGTCCAGTGAGGAAGATAAAAAGGAGGAGGAGGTCAAGAAGACATTAGAACAGCATGACAACATTGTGACTCAATACAAAAAAGTCATCAGAGAGCAGGTGAGAGGCAGTTATGCTGTACGTGTGCCTCCAGGGATTGGTTGGTTTGGCTTTCAGAGGCACCAATGCAGTTTGATACCCAATGTTCCAAATGAAGTAACTAGGAAACTAGCACTGCAGAAACACTTCTACAAACACTTAAGCCAAGTTCTGGTTCAAATGAAATACCAGTGCTTAGAATACTGGATAAGTTAAAGCATTTTCCTGGGATATGTCTGCTCTTTCCTGTGTTTAAGTCTTCTCAAATGAGTAATGGGAGAACTTGCAGCCCCTCACAGAGATACAACTCTTAGTTCTGGTCTCTCACTTTTGAGAAGATGACAGATGAAGTGTGGCTGAGTGAAGAATGGGAGTTACTGAGTAAAGTTTTGGATATACCTGCTGTGGTTGAACTCCTGATTGTTTTTTCCAATGGGAGTTTGCTTGTTTAGTTGCAACAGCTTAGATGGAGAAGTAGAAGAGCAAATCTAATTAACTTAATAGTTAATGGGGACTTAAGCAGGTGCGTTTTGTTCAGGGATCTGGAATGGACACAGAGCACAGTGGTACAAGTGGAATTAAGGGACACTTTTGAACTGCTGGTGAGGTTTTCCTGAACTTGCAGTGACAGCAGTTCCTACACCTTCCTGGAAGACTCTTGAAATGCCCCAAATGCATGCATTTGGTGTGGTTGTGATCAACTACAATCACCAGATTTCATAGGTTTCCTTTTTATTCTTGTGCTGTCTCTGGTGTGGGGATGCTGGAGGTCTCCTCCAAAAGACTTGGAATGCATTGGTTTGGTGAGACAGGCTTCTCCTGTCTTTGCCAGGCTTTTTTCCTTGCAATAGCTATCTAGGTTTGCATGAGGCTTTCTTGCTCACCTGATAGCTTGGACAGCATCACTAGCAGTAATGTGTCATGCTGGAGCTGAGGTTTTTCTGTCTTTACTTGCCTTCCTGACAGTATCATCTTCAAAAGCGTTACTATTCTTCAAAGCTTTGGTTTTTTTCTTTCACAGGACCAGGAGCTTGAAGAACTGAAACAACGAATTACCGCTTTAATGTCTCAAAATGAACAGCTCCAAGCAACAGTTACCCAGCAAGTGTCACAGATCCAACAGCATAAGGACCAATATAATCTCCTTAAAGTACAGCTAGGTAGGCTCAGAGAGTAATAAAAAAAATACCTTCTATCGCTTCAGACTTGTATGTTCTGCTGCATATGAAAAACTGCCCACAGAGATTAAATACACTGTTTTCAGGCTGATGTTGGGCATTGCAAGCAATTTTGTTGAAGCATTAGATTTGCTTTGTTATCTAAAAATACTAGGTTTTGCTTTAAGTGCCTTTAAAGTTAAAGAATTAAAGCACTGAAATCAACAGGACAGCTTCAAAATGTTCAAGAGGTAAAATTTATTCTTGCTTTGTGCTTAAGTCTTGGAACTCAGGTCTGTGGATGAAAATAATGAATTGAGGAAGAACTGTATGGCAGATGTGCAAGATGAGGCTTATCACTGTCACTGGAGAGACTGCTAACTAAGTGCTTGAATCAGGACAAGCATATTCAAGTTATTCCAAGGTCAAGATGCCTGATAAACTGGATGTGATGATTTCCAAAAGTAATTCTGCCTTCACAATTATTTACTATTAAAAATACGTAAGGACACAATCATCCTTCCTCTGTAGGATGATTTGTCTATGAAGTTATTTTGGATGAACTGAATAACTGAAGCAGCACGCTGGTGCAGCCACAGATACATGCTTGAAGGAATGATGAAGTAGAGCTCTTCAGTTGCTTTTGATAGAGAATTCGTAAATATTATGCTCTGGTTCTTGAGTTGGAATTGCTTGTGTTGCCCTGTGTGATGGGCAATAAATTCTTGAATTGGTGTGTTTGAAGCTAACTTCAAAGTGGCATTGGTGTTTGTGACCTCGGTTTTATAAATTCTGTCTTTCAGGAAAGGACACTCAACATCACAATTCTCATGGGGATACGTTTCAGATGAATGGCATTCAGACAGAAGAAGTGAGCAAACTGAAAGAGGAGTTGGAAGAATGGAAAAACAAGCATGAGCTGCTGCAAGGGCAGATAAGGGAAAAGGATTTTCTGATTGAAAAATTGGTAAGTGCTGTCTCTGTAGAACTTGCTGCAGCTTCCAAATGATGTTTTCAAATGTCAGCTGCCTTAAGCTAAGTCCTCATTATGATGGCAGTCAAAGTATCATAACTGATTGTACGCTGATAATAGGAAATGGGGTGGGAGATGGCTTGAGGAAAGCCTTTCCTGCTTCCCACTGTTCCCAAAAGTAATTTGTGTAGGTGACTGTACTGTAGAATCAGGAGTTTTAGTGTGTTTTGGGGAGGGAAAAAATGGTAGGGGCCTCTTAGGCATTACCCCCACTAGGCTTCTAAGATGTATTTATGGTGGCCTGCTTGCCAAAATGCAGGATGATGCATGCTGCTTTTATTTTGTGCTTGTCTTCTGCATTTGGGTTGGTGAAAGATGCTTTTGTATCTACCTTAGAGAGGACTATTGAGCTGTTCTCATGTAATCAGAGAGCTTTTTGCGTTTCTTAGCCTGTTTACCCGTTTTATGCTGGGAACTTGGATCATGCAAGCACAGAATTTGCTCTGGGTTCTAGCAATGTGACTGTATTTTTGCTGTCTACTTCTGTTGCTGATGTCCCTGTCGCTATTACAGAAGTCTTCACAGTTGGAAATGGGAACAACAGAGCTGTCTTCACAGAGCAGCAGATCTGGTGGCTTGGAGCACAAAAATGAACTACAAGAGGTGAACTTGGGGTATTTTAGCAAAGCTGTGGTCAGCAGTGGCAGCTCAGGATGGGCAGGTAGCTTTGTCACACTGCAGGGAGGAGCACTGATCCCTGAGCATGGTGAAGTTTTTAATGGTGTACTTTCATGTGATGATGCTACTAATCCTGGAGCATCAAGATTATGTATCTAAAGCGAAACGTTTTTTTTTCTGCTAAGCAGGTTTGAACCAGCAGAAGACAAACTGTTGCAAAATGAGTTTATTCATTGCAAAAGTGTATCTTTAAATATCAATACGAAAGATTCCAGGTCTTAAATGTACAATATGGAGTAAGTGTTGAAATACCTGCACATTGAGTAATTTGTAGGACCTGTTGGTCATAAAATACCTATCAGAGTTTCTCTGATTAGAGAACTAGTTAATGTGACTGGATTTATAAGTCATAATGGCTTTCTGCACCAAGAACAGTAATGAGAGGAGGAGTTTAATGGGAGTGCTAGTGGTGTGAAACACTGTAGTAAGGGAGACTGAGGCTCACACAGGTGCCTTGGTTGGGCATTCTGTAGAAGAGTTCCTAAGAGTGGGGTGGAAAATGGTGGGACTGGTTTGGTCTTCCAGAGAAACAGTTGCAACTTTTCTCTCATATATGCTAGTATGAAACAGTTGGGTAACATTTAACTGAAGTAGAATATATTGTGAGTAACTCTCTTGCTTTATTGAATTAATTTAAAAGTATGGTTTTGTCTTTGTTTCCCAAAGGAGTTAGAAATACTCAGGAGTCAACTACAACTACAGTCTGCAGAAATCTCTCAGCTTCAGCTAGAGAATCAAAAGCTTCGAGTAATGGTACCAATGACCAAGTTACATATTTTCTCTTCTGGGGACTAAATTTGAAGACTTTGCTTTCCTGCATGTGGTGTCTGTAGCCCTTGTCCTAACCCAAGCTTGTTTTAAGAATACACATGAGCAAGTGATTCCCACAGTGTTGTAAATGAAGTAACATTTTCCCTAGGAAGATCTGTCATGAGGAAAGAGGGGACTTGCAGTACAGTTAGTGCTCCACGAGGCCACTGGTCCTTGGTATTTTTAAACAAAGGAATGCCAACTATTCGGCACTTTATTTAAGCTCACACCCTAATCAAAGGAAATAGTCTCTTGAGACACAACTGCATGATACCATGGACGTTAGAGGGATCATCATTCTTGAAAACAGTTGAGGATACTAATTTAGAAGTTGATGTATGGTTGAATAGCAGTTGGTAGGTGCATCTGTGCAGCCTCCAGATGCCTCAGGAGCTTTTTTTTAACCTGTGTGTTGAAAGGATGAGCCCATAAAGCCTTACAGAATAGTTAAATAATCTGATCTAGAACAAGGGTAGCTGTTGTGTACCCTGCTTGACAACTCTGCTATAATGAGAACAGGGTAGCTGCCCAGTGGAAGATGGACTCGCTTCAACTCTTGCTGCTTCTCCATCCCTGGCAGTGTTCAAGGCCAGATTGGACAGAGCCTTGGGCGACATGGTCTGGTGTGAGGCATCCCTGCCCATGGCAAGAGTTTGGAACTAGATGATCTTAAGGTCCCTTCCAACCCAAACCATTCTGTGGTTCTATGACTCTGGCTGGTTTGTTCTGATCTGGGCACCAAATTTGAAATTGGGTATAGCAAGACAGAGCACTTGTGTGGGGAAAATATTGAGTGTTTAATTTAATATAAAGATCAGCTGAGAGGAAGGCTTTTAACACTTGCACTGCCACAAGTCTCAGCAGCTGTCATCTAAGATGCTGTTGCACGTGTTGGCCATGGGTGCCCATGAGACAGGGTCTTCTTTGGATGCTCCTTGCTGCCTGAGCAGCTCACTGCCACCCTCCAGACCTTGCCTAGAGCTTTGGCTTAAACAGGGCATCACTGGAGAAGCAATTTTCTGGAATTCGTGACACAGGGTAGTTTTAGCTCAAAGACAGCTGCCACATTTTGGAATTTGGGTAGGGCTGGCTGAGACTGAACTACTGCTATTTTTAGTAGTCACATACGAAGATGTGGATATTTAGCCTAATAAAACAAAATCTTTGGCCCTTAGAAAGCATCTGTGTGAAGGCCTGTAATAGGGTCTGCCCAGAAAAAAACCCTAACGTCTCTTTAGAGAGCAACTTATATGAAATAAGGCTTGCTCCTTGTTTTCTCCTTTGTGTGTATGTGTTTACCGGGACCCCAGGAAGCACAGACCTGTTTCCTGATGCCTTGCAGCACAGGATGTTTGTAACTACTACACCCTGGCTACACTGTAAGAAGAAAATATGCCTGTAAATTCTCCAGCTGACTGTGTAACTTCTTAGCTTGCTGTCTTTCTCTGTGAGGCATTCAGTGCTCTTCTATTGAATTTTGTCCACAGAACACAACTGCAGACCCTGTGTTAGGAGACAGTGGTGACGCAGTAGGAAACAGCTGTGAAATGGAGGGACAACTTCAGCAAGAAATCAAAGAATTGAAGGTTGGTAGCAGGCGAACACTAAACCAAGTCATTTGATGCTCAGTCTTCACTTCCTATAATAGGAGAGGCTTTGGGTGGAAGTGGTTTGTTTCCTGAACGTCTTGCATGTTTCAGGCCATGCAGGGGGGGAGCTGGATGCATCTCCTTTTGTTTTCACTTGGGAAATGCAAGCTTTGTCTGCCTTGAAAGAGGAGGTAATGACAGTCTAGGAGATAGTTTTACTCTGACAAGGACAGCCCAGTGTAGCTGGGGGAAGGTGGCCACTGCTGAGACTTCCATTTGCCTTACTCCTAGTTGGTAATAAGAGGGGTTTGGGTAAGGAAGCATGTGGGAGCAAGGCCACAGGGCACTTGGTGGGGTTGGAGCTGTTACAGGTAGTGCATGGAATGTGTTTGTAGGAAACAAGGCTTCAGCTGTTCTTGTGCTTATGGTGTAACTTGGTGGGGGATTTTTCCTGTTCCAGAGTGAAGTCAAAGCCCTTTCTGAGGAAAAAGAATCACTAAAGCAGCACCTCGATTCATCCAGCAGTACAGTTGCTATCTTGCAAGATGAGAAAAGTAAACTTCAGCAAGAAGTTGCAGAATCAAAGAAAGAACAGGATGATCTTCTGGTGCTTTTGGCTGACCAGGACCAGAAACTATCTGCACTGAAGATCAAATTGAAAGATCTTGGTGTACCGGTAAGGAAAACAACAGGTCCACTGAGTTCTCAGGATAGGGATCTTGAGAGGTACCTGCCAAACTCCTGCGAGGAAAACTACTTGTCACATATATGTCTGGAATGATACCTTGCTGCAGCTCATCCAGGCTGCCAATGCAAAAGCAGATGATGGTTGCGATATAATCCTAAGGGATCATTCCACCGCTAATACGAGTGATAACTTTAGTCAGCTTTTTAAGCATCACTGTGACCTGTCAGGGAGCCTTACGGGCAGTTTGATGTGACAAGATGACAGTGGTTTTTATTAAGCACTAATTGATACGCCATGATAACTTTAGGTTAGCTTGAAGCTTATTTTTGCTCCCTTAGCATTTGCCCTGCCTTCAGAAGGTTGGATTGGAGTAAGGGATGCTCCTGCTCACAACTGGTCTTTCTTAATTTCAGGTTGAAGATGAAGATGATATTGAGTCTGGAGATCAAGGGGATGAAGATGAGGATGTGGAGGAAGAGGAGCAGGACTAGAATGCTTTTGTGTGTTACCATGAAAACTAGATTGCATTGTTACTGGGGGCGGGAAATCTATTATTGGTATACAACGCAAAACATCTGCTTATGAGCAGCAGATGGGAAAAGGACAACTGTGAGACTAGTTGTAAGTTACTGAAGTGTTTGAAAACCCTTCCTACTAGGTAAAGCAAACAGAAATCACTGCTTAAGTTCTACAGGAGTATCCCAAATTATACTTGCTTAGAAGTTGCTTTAGATGCTGTTTAAAGCATGGAGATGACAATGTTGCTGCCTCAGTTCATTGTCATTGACAGAAGTTCTGTGTGTTCGTCTACAGTTTTAACCTTCTGGAACTGTTAATTAAATACAAAAGTATTTGGTTTAACATCTGTCAAATGGAATCATTGCCCCTGCCTTCAGCAGGGAGCTCCAGTGCGATCTGTGACTTCTTTCCAAGAGCAGTGTCGAGGTGGAAGGGTTTGGGTGGCTGTGGTGTGTGGTGGCCACTCTGCTGGCCTTGGGGCTGGTTCTTCAGGTGGGAATGGACCTGCAGAGGGCCAAGTGACTTGGTACCTGGAGTGGCTGCATTGGAACCTCCTGGGGAACTACAGTGCTCTGCTAGCAACGAAGAAGAGATCTCATGGAAACTTAGCAAGAGAGGTAGTGTTTTTAAGAAGAATCTCCGGAAAACCAAACCCCAACACACTCT